TGTAGTGCTAACATGTATGTTGTTCAATGATGACAGTCTACCTAAGCTATTAGCACTGTTACAGATGTTGATGGTGAGGCCGCCAATGATGTCCTTTAGAGATGAGGAGCCATCTACATAGTACATGTGAATTTCGTCAGGATCGGAGGCGATAGATCTCAGCTCATTCTTGTCAGCATCGTTTAATCCTGAGAGAAAAATATAGTGTTAATAACTGTGTTGAAAAAGGGGACTTAAAACAAAGAAAACTATTTGGCTGGCAAAGTAATAAAATTGAGGTTTTCTAACACCTAAACTAAACAATTGACAGGCCAGACTGATGGTTGAGCATTTTTAATTCCATTCACTACAAATCGTATGTACTTTACATTCCTGCTCATATCTGCTAAAGCATGTCCCATGATTGTAACTTGACTTTCTTTCTTTTGGACAGCCGGTGGTTTTAGTTCAATTTGGTCCACTACTATAATCAAATCACAAAGACTGAAATAGCCTGACCCGGTGCTCAATACATAAAGACATGAACTGATATAAATGATAAATGCTGTCATTTTTACACCTGAAGGAACAAGCTAGCTAACATTTTTATTTTGACAAACATGAAGTACCACATTCAGTTTATACTGATGTCTCTTTATATAAGTATTGTAGTTTCAGAACTTATCCTCATTTTACAATTTTTTCTGAGGCTGTTCTACTTCATCATTATTCAACTGAGAGTCAGTCACCAATAGCGTAGACCTCGATTCCAGCGTCCTTCAGGTTCTGTGAGGGGATGTGTGCGATGTCTGTGGACTTTCCATCAGTGATCAAAACAGCAATTTTTTGGGAGTCTGCTCGCATTCCCACATTGGGTTTAAAGCTGTTATGGAGGATGTAGTCCAGAGCTTGTCCTGTATGACAAAGAAGAATCAAAAAGCATAGAGTTGTGAAGGTTGGGGTGTTATTTCAAACGCCCCTCATTCCTGAGGTCTTTTTTTTTTTCAATTGTTGGATTGGTGGATTTGACAGTATGCTAATAAGTCACCTGTGTAGGTGTCTCCATGCAGCCGTGTAACCCTGTCAATGGCCTCCAGCAGAGAATATTTTGTTTGGTAAGTTTTCAGGTCACACTCAGTTTGTGGGTCACCTGCGTACAGAACCAGACCTGAGGAAATGAACATTTAAGATGTGTAGATTACAGACCCAACTCTTATCTTAAAATATATTATAACAACAATAACAATAATATCATAATGATACAATATATATACGTGTGTGTGTGTGTGTGTGTCTATATCTCTCTATCTCTATCTCTATCTGTATATGTATATATGTATATTTTTATATGTATGTGTATATATACTGTATATGTATGAATAGTGGCAGCATGAATAGTGACTACTACTAGTGAGTAGTAAAAATATTACCAATCTGGACTCTGTCTGGGCCGATGTCAAAGACGTTGACTAGTCTCTTGATAAAGGACTTGATGATATCAAAGTCTGGATTGCTGACACTCGAGCTGGTGTCCACCAACAGCACAATGTCAGCCTTAGCTGTGGTTTCACACTGAGCACCTGCAGGAAAGCAGAGGATTGTGGGATACAACATGCAAAGACAAAACATAGCAGTAAAACTAACAGCCGTGATAGTGTAAAGTAGTGTAAAGTAATTAGGTGAAGTACAAGTACCCCAAAATTATACTAAAGTACTTGGCTTTAATTTTACTTTTTTTCCTACTCTTCACTACAATGCATGGACAGTTATTGTACTTTTCTTTGCTCCACTACATTTTTCAGAAGTGTTATTTATCAGCTATGTTGCAGATTCGGATTATAAATAAAAAATATAATCAAAAAATACATTTTGACATATGATTATAGATCATACTGCTTGGCAGTATATAAAGTAATTAAAATTATCTCAGCTTTGACCAGCTGCAAGAGAAAAGTGATACAAACATGAAAACATTAATATTTATAGCTAATGATATAATTATACTGAAATGGACCATTCTGCATAACGAGCACTTTAACTTTTGGTTCTTCAAGTGTATGTGCAAATACTTTTGTACTTTTACTGAAGTCATTTTTGAATCCAGGAATTTTGCCTGTAACAGAGAATTCCTACACTGTGGTATCACTGCTTTTACTTAAGGAAAACATAAGAGTTCTTCTTCCACCACTGTCATATCCCTAAGATTTCACAACACAAAGGTGCTGTACTAACACCTGTTTAGATGAGAGCCTCAAAAAGATGGTGTTTGGGTCCAATAACTACTCTGCTTTGGCTAAAAGAAACTAACATTAACTGTTAGTAGGAAATTGGATGTGAACATTTACCACTTTGTTGACCCGTCCATAATTTTTATTTATCTTAACTCTTTCCCAGCCATTGACATTCCATCATTTATGACAGAGCGCTTCCCCGCCATTGACTAGATATTCCAGCAATGCGTGTTTTCACTGTTATAAGATAAAGGGCACTGTCGCACATCTGGTGAACTAGAACAGCACTGCCTCGTCCAAAAACAAACAAAGAAGATCAGCTGGAAACCGGAAGAGGACGTTGTTTACAGAAATGTAGCAACTGCACGAAAATGCGGGCGCCAATGGAAATGTTTACAGTTGTGCAAGCCGTGGAGATGTTGATGGACTCAGACTCTGACATTTCCTGTTTTGATCAATATTCTGAATCTGATTTGGACGAAGAAGCAAACGAGTTTGGTGGGACGAAACGGGATGTCCATGATGGTGACAGTGACACAAGGACAAGACAACTACAGAGGAGACGGAGACAACAGAACACTGAGCGATCACTGAACGTGGTGTGTTCCACTGCTACACCTCAAAGAGAATAGTATTTTCATTATTATTACTAGTACTTTCATTTATACAGTTCAAACTGATGTAAGGACATGAGAAAAAACANTTTGTTTTTTTGATGAGAATAAGGAAATTCAAGTGTTGATAAAAAAAACAAAACAGAAGGCCTCTTCTTTAGTTTCATGTATATACAGTTTACATATTCATAGAAGAAATTATTTTGTGGGTCTTGAAAAATTTGTGAATATGATCAAAAATGCTGGCGGTGGCTAGAAAATAATACTCTGGCATGAAAAGTGTTAATGGTCTCTGTTTACCAGTTGATTTGTGTTTTCCTTCAGCCTGGAGTCCTGAGGAGAAAATCAGAGAAGAAACATGAATATGAAGCAGCATATTGATTTGAGTTTTTTCATACATGTGACCGCCATAGTGGTAGCAGCACAATCGGAAAAGTAACAGAACTGTGTCTTTAAAACACTAATGAAATATTTTCAGTGTATGACAACACAGTAAATGTATACAAATAAAATATGTCTCAGTGTGTGTTGCATTTTACTTTTATTGGATTTGTTTTAATGTAGACATTTTAAATCTTCCAAATGTCCATACAGAGTAAATCTATAGACCAGCTCTTATAAAGATAATGCAATACAACAGCCAAATTTTAAATCCAGAAATCCTGTGTGATTACATTACTAAACCCTTGTGGTATTGAAAGAGTGTATCTTTGTCCTTGTCTTTGTAGCCTTGTGTGGCCCAAACCTTGTTGTTTTTACTTGTGAGGACAGTTTGTCTAGTCTCCACAACGAAAGCAGTAAAAAAAAAAGCAAAAAAAAACTTTGAATGAGTAGTAGAGATTCTCAAGCTCACATTCACATTCATTAAATATATTCCATGCAGTCGCGCCATCCTCTCCCCCTCCTGCGCTCACAGAGTGGACAATGAGACATTAGAGGCAGTGCAGATTAAATATGTATTTAGAAAGAATTTCAATTCAGGATTTGAGTTGGATTTTACAACGTTTTTATGAAATAATTATCACTCACTCCAAGCGCAAAATAAGGCTGCTGGATTTAATTTCAATGATAACATGGATCTAAGGTGGATATAGCGTGACATTAAATTTGTGTGAGACATCAATAAAAATCTGACTCCACTTCTCCACCTCGCCGTCTGCGTCGCCACTTCCCAGTGTCTCCAAAATGTGCGCACGCATGACACAGAGTTTGCTTACAGGTGCGCACATTCTCCCGCCAAGTTTATTTTTATAAATCACAACCTTTGCATTGTAAGTGGCGTACGCCACTTTCAAGCTCTGTTTTGTGCGTAAGCAAGCTTTATAAATGAGGCCCCTGATCCATTATATTCAAACAGTCATAGATGAGAGCAGAGATGCATTTGAAAATGCAGCCTTCAAGACTTTACAACATACAGTAGTTTAATTCAACATTTTTACACTGAGGTTTTGAATGCACCCTGTCTCTTGCCCTAAGTCATCTGGAATTGGATCCAGGACACTTGCGACCTTAAAGAGGATAAGCAGTTACAGAAAATGGATGGATTGTTTGTTTCAAATACAGAACTGTGACTCTAATTCAATATTTTAACACTCAGGTTTTGCACCTTTCACACACTCATCATAAAAACACAGTCTTACCTGAGCTCCACAGCAACAGCAACACCATCAGCAGGGGATCCATGTCCAGGTGGACCGTCTGTCTCTTCTTGTCTGTTGGACTCGTCATCTGTTCTCTGCTATTTATGTCTCTTCTTTTGTCTAATCATCAGCCAACTGTTGAGCAACTTCTCAGAACTGATGAACCACAGATTAAAGGGTGAGTTCACTGAATTTATGTGACCATTAGTTCTTCATTGTCCTTCTCATATTTCTGTGAGTTCACAGTATAAATTTTTATAATTTATGAAATGCATTTTATCACTGTCTTTCTAAGCAAACCCAAATTCTATATGTGTGTGTATCCATTATAAATCCAGAGAGTAGCTGTCAGTATGTGCAAATCATCTACACATGAAGCTGATGAGAGACTTTATAGAGGCTGATAAATGGAAGTAATACAACACAGTTTTTAGTCTGAGACTGAAAGGGTTAAGGTACTTTAGACCACTCTGTGCACGATTTCTACAACTTGTGTCAGAATTCTGTGCCTGTAGGCCCTCTGCGAGGATGGCTGAAAACTGGATTTAAAGGGTTAAGTTGAAGAAAATGTTTGACACATCTCAAATGCCTCTATGTGATAAGATTAAAAATTATTAAGAGTTTCGCAACAGTCAAAGCACACTCTGTGGTTCCCATGGTAACCTAATCTGTTAGTTTAGCTGCATCTTCCTGTCAGAGAGAAAACACAGAAAGCTGATGAGGGGATGAGAGATGGAGGAGAGGTGACTGATGATACATCTCCTTTAAAGTCAGTCCAGTTGACTGTCTATATATCAATAACTTTTCATAACACATATACATTTACTGCATTCCTCTTTACAGGTTAATAATTTTCCAATTACTGTCTACCACAAATAAACAAATTAGATTTTATCCGGAAATTTTAATTAATTTCTGCTCTATTTTAGGTCTTAGATTCTTATTGTTGATGTGCATAATTTTCTTCTTACATATATTTAATGATGTAACTGTTCTGCATATTACAAATAATTCAAAATACACAACATAAAAAGAGTTTGCAGCTATTTGGCTATTTGCAATATCCCTAAAGTTTGTTATGAACATGGATGAATCACTGAATGGGCCCACAAGGCACAGGCCCAGGGGCCCAAGTGTCAGGGGCCACCCTGGCCTTCACTTTTAACATTTCACCCAAATTAACACCAACCAGGAAGAGACTCAAATGACCACAAAGAGACACAAAAAGACCACAAAGAGATCCAAAGAAACTGAAAAAAAACAGGCAAAACAAACACAAGGATAATCAAAATGACCTCACAGAGACACAAAACAACTACAAACAGACAAAAAAAGCCAAGAAGATACATAATAATGACAGAGACCCAAAACCACCACAAAGTCTGCGGGTCTCATTGATAAAATGTCAGCAGAAGGAATTTCTGTATATTTTGGCAATCATCAATATATTAGTAGCTCCGATCTGTTCGTAGTTATTAACAAAATCTACACCTGCCTCTGACTGCTCATAGCGTTTGTGTAAATAAGGATTGCACATAAAAATTGTATGTGATTATTAGAAATTCAAGTTTTAATTCGTATTGTGCTGTTACGTTCACAGTACACAAACACCTTTGATGTAAGTTAAACATGACAGGAGATTAGAAATAAAATACATTTTGCTAAATTAGCTGGTATTGAGTAGAGTTAAGCTTCATGAATCAAGAAACAAGTGACAGTTTTTGTTTTTCTCTCAGATTCTTGTTATAGTATTCAGGCTGTACGAGCAGCGAAGTAAAAAACAAACATGTTAATGTCAGTTTTGTGTTTTTAGGTTTGGAGATATCAGAAATGTCTAACGTATCTCTTACTTAATTGACAGAATTGTTAAAGTATCAATAAACCGGTGCCATAATAGCTACAAAACCAATGGAACTGCAATGGTAATTCACCAGTCAACTGTGTTGATGATTCCAGCTTCTCCAGTAGGATAATTTGCTGCTTTTCTCAGTTTCATTTCACAGTAATCTTTTTATTTATCTTTTGGGTTTTGGACTGTTGGTCAAACAAAACAAGCCATTTGGAACTGTTACCTTTGATTCTGAACAAACTACGATAGACATTTTTCACTTTTTCACTTATGTAGAGATTTATTTACAATACAAGAAACTGTGATGCATAGTCAAATATAACTAAGTTATAAGTTAATATAAAACTTAAGGGACTCTGATATTAAAAGATTTAAGTACACAAATAAGTCATTGTGGGGTGTATGTAGATATTTATTTATTTATTAACAATACAAGATGAGCCATGACATGATGCATGGTCAAATATAGGCTGTACTGACAAGGATAACCATGTCTAATAATAAATGAGGAACACTCTCAAACTGGCTATTAATGATCAATAACTGAACCAACCAAAGCGCAACTGATTACAAGCATTATGTATTATGAGACTACAAATAAAGTTCATGTTATGAATAATGACTGATATGTAGAGACTGGATAAAAAGGACTTTGTGCAGAAATGGACAAGGCCTCCCATGATCCTTCAAGCTCTGCCTCCTCTATAGAAGGCATATCTGTCTGGTTCAGGAGTTCCTTTAAGTGTTTCCTCCACTATCTGACAATGTCCTCAGTCTGAGTCAACAGTTCTCCTCTTCAGCTGGAAACAGCCTGGGCTAAGCTCTGCCTCCCTCTACTGAGCTGTCTGATTATTTGTCAGAACCTTGACTGAAAGTCCTTCTCCATGGCCTACCCCAAACTCCACACACACAGTTTTCGCCCCAGCGACCACAGACGCCGCAGTCCTGCTGGCGTTTCTGGAGTCTCCTGACTGAGCTCGAAAGGACTCTTTCTTCAACTAAAAGGTGTTGTTCACCACTGATGTCCTGATGTCCTTGATAACCTTCTACGCACAACCTCAACAAGGCCCACCTGGACTCCATGTTTCCAATGGCCATCGAGACACAATAAATTTGATAAAGATTAGAAAAAAAGTTGTGGTGATGGGAAATAACTGATGGTGAAGGCATGGGAAAGATTGTTTTGGTTATTAAAAAGGCAAATGTTCATTGTAGGTCTGTGACAAGTCCTCTTGCATAAAAGTCTGATGCACTACATGTCCATCCACCACCCTGACCTCCATGTACTTACTTTCCATCTTGCAACATAACGGTCAGACTACTTACTACACTGCCACTGAACGAAATCTCAAGGTGCAGAATTGTTCAAAATGGACTTGACTCATTGTGAAACTGGGCTCCAAAAACCTGGTTGGATTATCACTTGAGACTGAGAGGAGAGACCTTTAGTTATCTCTTCCTGCTTTCATTCTTTTAACAGTTTAACAAGGATTTAAAAGAAATGTTCCATTCAGAGTTGATGTTTGGCAGGTGAGAAATCTAATTAGATGTGAGATGAGCTCTTTGGAGGTCCTACTCTTCTGCCTGGGCTCCTTCCTCTTCAGCCGATCCTCCTTCATTTCTGAAAACACTGAGGTTGTAATAATCCACCTCGATGTTCTCCTGTTGGCCTGGCTTCTTCCCCCTGGTGGTCTGGAGAGACATGACAGCACACAGATATGAGTTATTGCATCACTCATCTCTTTAGTTCAACACACACAGGCTAAGGGCTGCGTTTAAGTCAGTCCTCTAATCAACAGAGATGTGTACGGTACCTTAAAGATGAAATAGATGACAGTGATGAACAACAGCAGAATCAGCGGCAGGACGACCAATCTGATGATAAAAGCTGCTGGATCTGATGAAACACATTCACAGACACACACATCAGTACAGCTGGTCCCATCAACCTTAAACTTAAGTCACGTTAAATCACCTAAAATCACTCATCAGTTAACTAAAGTCACTGTGAGGGGATGAATTAAAGCCTGCTCATTCTCTCCCTAATGCCCCTGTCTGGTTGAAATGAAATCAACACCTTCACATAAAACCACAGGAGGTTGCTTAAAGGGCAGATTGCCACAGTTTGAAGCATCAGGGAATAAGCCCACTTCTCTACCCTTGAGGATGCTATTGTCCTGGATAATTTTACAGTTCAGATCAGAGGTAGGACGACACTGGAAGATCGCTGTCACAGATGATTGGTGCATCTCAAAGTCAAGCAAGGTTCCTTAAATGGCTGAATTTAAGGAGGCTATGTCATCGAATCTGGCTGAAGGACTGTTCCAATGTTGAGGATCCTTTGAATTCTCCCAGTGACTGAATCTTTCCTTCAGAGAGTTTTCAAGGATACATGTGTGTATCCTCAGTGGGCATAAACTACCCACAGTTCTTTGCGAGTAATTTGCCAGAATTGAAGACAGGCCTTCTTCAGTGATGCGTACCTTAGCACTCGCTAGCCTGTTCCAATGTGTGTTCACTGAATGCTAGGAGGGATCTTGCCTAGCCTCTGTAGGACTCGACTCGGAAGGACCCATCCTTCCAAAGAAGCATCCTTGACTTTGAGAAGCAACAGATGTCACTGATGGGCTTACCTGAACAGGTGAGCTCCAGGGTGGAGGAAGACCAGGACAATAATGTTACACACTCTCTCAGAGCAGATCCAGAGTGAACACAGTCAAAGTTGATCTTCCATGCAGATCTGTTGGAGGAGTCCTCTTTCCTTCCTGCTGAAATAGCAGAGCCGCAGTTCAGGTTTCTACAGAAGGCAGCTGCTGACGTCAGAGTCCAGTCAGAGCCATCCACTGGTCTCCAGTCTCCCTGTTTCACCTCCAGTGTTCCAGTGCAGCGACTGGATCCTCCCACCAACCTGACAGGATCTGAACAGAAACCAGAGAGTCATCAGTAAAAGAACAAAGTGAGTTTCATTACAACAGAAATGAACCAAATCAAATCTGCAGCTCCTCTTCTACCTGAGCAGGTGAGTCCAACAGCTTTGCCAGATGAGCAGGTGTTTCTATCTGAGTCTGAGCTTCTACAGTCCAGGAGAGCAGACTCATTACCTCCACACTGGAACTCTTTGGTCCACATTGGAGCCTCCACTTCTCCATAGAGCGCCCCCTGGAGGACTGAAGGAGCCCCACAGCCCAGCTCCCTACAGACCACCTCTGCATCCTGCTGGTCAAAGTCATCTTCACACACTGAGGACCACGACTGGTTAGACTGGTCAGACTTCACCTCCAGGTGTCCTGAACACAGACCAGTCCCATTCACCAGCCTGACAGAGTCTGGAGGGAGAGAGAGAATTTAAATTTTAAAACTGATCTTTATTTGTGATTATTGATACTATGAAACAGACATGATACATCTCATCAGACACTGTACAGATTCACATATTCCCAAACCATTAGTTCAGGAAGTCTGATACACAAGCAGTTTCATCAAAGTGCAGCCTGGAAGATCTTATGATCAACTACAGGGTTTTTGATACAAGTATATCTTGGAAAGATTACTGTCATAGATGATGTAACAGACCAGCTTACCTACGCAGGTGATCTCCATGATGGAGGAAGAGGAACCTAATGTCACACACTCCCTCAGGGAATGTCCAGCCTGAATACAGCTAGGACTGATCTTCCATGCAGATTTGAGCAAGGCCTCATTTCTTATTCCTGCTGAAATAGCAGAGCCACAGTCCAAGTCTCTGGAGACGACAGCTGCTTCCTTCAGAGTCCAGTCAGAGCCATCCACTGGTCTCCAGTCTCCTTGTTTCACCTCCAGTGTTCCAGTGCAGCGACTGGATCCTCCCACCAACCTGACAGGATCTGAACAGAAACCAGAGAGTCATCAGTAAAAGAACAAAGTGAGTTTCATTACAACAGAAATGAACCAAATCAAATCTGCAGCTCCTCTTCTACCTGAGCAGGTGAGTCCAACAGCTTTGCCAGATGAGCAGGTGTTTCTATCTGAGTCTGAGCTTCTACAGTCCAGGAGAGCAGACTCGTTACCTCCACACTGGAACTCTTTGGTCCACATTGGAGCCTCCACTTCTCCATAGAGCGCCCCCTGGAGGACTGAAGGAGCCCCACAACCCAGCTCCCTACAGACCACCTCTGCATCCTGCTGGTCAAAGTCATCTTCACACACTGAGGACCACGACTGGTTAGACTGGCCAGATTTCACCTCCAGTCGTCCTGAACACAGACCAGTCCCATTCACCAGCCTGACAGAGTCTGGAGGGAGAGAGAATTTAAATTTTAAAACTGATCTTTATTTGTGATTATTGATACTATGAAACAGACATGATACATCTCATCAGACACTGTACAGATTCACATATTCCCAAACCATTAGTTCAGGAAGTCTGATACACAAGCAGTTTCATCAAAGTGCAGCCTGGAAGATCTTATGATCAACTACAGGGTTTTTGATACAAGCATATCTTGGAAAGATTACTGTCATAGATGATGTAACAGACCAGCTTACCTACGCAGGTGATCTCCATGATGGAGGAAGAGGAACCTGATGTTACACACTCCCTCAGGGTATGTCCAGCCTGAATACAGCTAGGACTGATCTTCCATGCAGATTTGCGCATGGCCTCATTTCTTATTCCTGCTGAAATAGCAGAGCCACAGTCCAAGTCTCTGCAGACGACAGCTGCTTCCTTCAGAGTCCAGTCAGAGCCATCCACTGGTCTCCAGTCTCCCTGTTTCACCTCCAGTGTTCCTGCACAGCGACTGGATCCTCCCACCAACCTGAAAGGCCCTGAACAGAAACAAGAGGGTCCTCGGTAAAAGGATAAAGTGAGTTTCATTAGAACAGAAATTAAGCAGAATCACAGCTGCAGCTCCTCTTCTACCTGATCAGGGATGCTTTTCATTGTGCTAACTTATACATCACGTCCTCTCTCCTCCTGTGACCTACAAATCGCTCCCCCTTTCCCATCATGGAGGATCTTCGAATCCCTTGCATGCAACTTGAGGAGACAAGGAGTTAGGAGGCCTCTGGAGGATGTTAGAGTGAGGAAACACAGGTGTATCCCATGTTTCTACTTTTATTAAGTGCCATGAGGGATAAATGATGCACCTCCACATGTGGCTCAATAACTGACACAACTCAAGACTGACACTGTAGAACCAAGGATTTCTCATTTGGCAACTTTGACTCCTCCATCTTCATGTCTCTTATTTGCATCTCTCTCACACATACTTACTGGGAGGAAGTGAAGGAAGCAAGGAAGGACGTTAACATAATGAAAAGAACCCCAGGTGAGTCCAACAGCTCTGCCAGGTGAGCAGGATTTTTAATTATTTGATGCAAAGCTGAGCATCTTACCCAGCTGCTGCATATCAGGTGGACTGCTGACTAGATTTATCCATCTCCATTCATTAATAAGTATATTTCCTTTGTCGTCACAGGTTCCTTGCAGGAGGAATTGTGAAACAGCAGCAAGGGCCTCGGCACACAATAAAAGCACTCACAACACAGTATATCCCACTTGTGGCGAGGTGTCCTCCAGGGCAATGGCCACATGGCAGTTTGTCCTGCCAATGCTTGCATAGCAGATTCCTTCATCAGACTCTAAATTTAATGCGATTTTACTTGGGAGTTAATTATCATCACTCCCCACTACATACAGAGCTGAGCCTGGTGTCAGTTCAGAGGCTAGACTTCAAACAATGCCTGTATTCTACATTCAGGTCACATGGAGGGCGACATACTGTATTGAGGAAGTCACATACACAAGCAATTACATCATTAGTACTGTCTACAAGATGTTATCATCAACAATTATGATTTCATTATAAACATATTCACATCTGTCATGTTGCTGAGCAGACCTCTGTGTCTCTGCATTTCATACCACATAAAGAGATTCTAACTAAGTCATAGATGATGTCACAGACAGGCTTACCTAAGCAGGTGAGCTCCAGGATGGAAGAGGAGGAACCTGATGTGACACACTCCCTCAGAGTATATCCAGCCTGAATACAATGAGGATTGATCTTCCATGTAGATGTGCGCATGGACTCATGTCTTATTCCTGTTGACACAGCAAAGCCACAGTCCAAGTCTTCACAGGCTATAGCTGCTGACGTCAGAGTCCAGTCAGAGCCATCCACTGGTCTCCAGCCTCCTCGTTTCACCTCCAGTGTTCCAGTGCAGCGACTGGATCCTCCCACCAACCTGACAGGATCTGAACAGAAACCAGAGTCATCAGTAAAAGAACAAAGTGAGTTTCATTACAACAGAAATGAACCAAATCAAATCTGCAGCTCCTCTTCTACCTGAGCAGGTGAGTCCAACAGCTTTGCCAGATGAGCAGATGTTTCTATCTGAGACTGAGCTTCTACAGTCCAGGAGAGCAGACTCATAACCTCCACACTGGAACTCATTGGTCCACATTAGAGCCTCCACTTCTCCATAGAGCGCCCCCTGGAGGACTGAAGGAGCCCCACAGCCCAGCTCCCTACAGACCACCTCTGCATCCTGCTGGTCAAAGTCATCTTCACACACTGAGGACCATGACTGGTTAGACTGGTTAGACTTCACCTCCAGTCGTCCTGAACACAGACCAGTCCCATTCACCAGCCTGGCAAACACTGAGATAGACAGAGAGAACAAGTTCATACCATAGCAGCTATTATAGTATTTCAAAATTCCTGACTTTGGCACCATCTTGTGGTAGCATGAAAACCGACACATTGAAGACAGCAATGCCTGATGAACAGAAACAAGATCTACCACCTTCAAAGGAGGTGAGCTTGCAGTAAATCTAAGAGCTGCTGATAATTTGTGCAGTGTATGAAATAAGTGAAGTGTTTGGTGTTTGTTCTTGCTCCAGGAACAACAAGCAAAGTTCCAGATGATCTGGAGACTTAGCAAGTCAAGGATGTGTCAAGGACCCAGAGTTGAGTGGAATTTTAATTCGTAAAATGTTCTTATAGGGGTGGTTGCAACCTTTCATCCTGTTTACTTTTTCATGAGTACTTAAGTTATGTCTGGATACACTTCCTGTGCTACTTTTAATTTATTAACATTCTTATCCATATTGCACATTTCAGTCTTTCCCTCTAAAACGTAAGAAGTTTGGGTTCTGCTGATCCTGGTTCTGGCATGGCTCTTCCTTATCAGGTGGTCACAATTCATCATGACTCTGTTCATAGTAGAATAACAAAAATGAAGCTACAACATATTCAGATTAGACTTCTCCTGTTCTGTGGCAAAAACCAATGTCTCTATGCTGAGAAAGCTGGTTGAAAAATAGTTTCACATCATGTTCCAGACAAGATCAGTGATTCTGGATTGTTACAATTGCTCAGTCTCAGAGCAATCTTTGAAATGACAACATCAGCACAGCATCAGCTTGAAAAGGGGATCATCACTGTGTTAGTGATTCTGTTTGCCATGACTTTGAACCTGGTTGTCAAGTCAGCAGAGGTAAGGTGTTGAGGTCCTGTAGATACACAACAACCCCTATCAGAGTCTTAATGGATCACTTGACCGTGAATATATTGGTGCCTTAATGCAGATGGGTCCTCTAGGATCTTCAGACATGTCATCCGGGCCCAGCTGAGTTTTAAACCTGGAATGTCCAGGTTCATGGTCTGGAGGATGAAGAAGTTAGCGGGAAAGTTTAACTTGAAGGTATCCAGATACTGTCTTAGCAAAGTCTACACCCTCAAGGACAAAGAGGTACTCAAACAGATCAGCCACTTCTTGCATCAGTGGCTGGGAATACCACAAAATTTGAATAGTATCACTGCAATAGTGACGTTGGGATGGGTAGTGTTCTGAGACTTTGCTAAGAAGGTGTCAAAGGGAAGCAGAGAGGCCACATGATTCAAGAAGAGATACAAGCACAGGTGGAGGAAGTATGTGACATATGGATCATAGGGATGAAGGAACAGGACACATGGACCCACTGGGAGCAAGCTGTTGATTGAGAGATTATTTTGTCCTGATTACTTTGTTCCTGATCCAGTCAGTTTACAACATCCTTTCTCAGATGTGTTGGACCTTGAGAGGCAGCAGAATATCTCCGTCACCATTACACAGACCACACACAGGCCAAAACCTGGTTTCCATGATGTCTGAAACAGAAAAGCAAATGGTTCTGCTGGAATTAACTCTCCCCTGGGGAGAGTTGAGGATGGTGTGTATCTGTTGAGGTTGGCTGCAGTGACTTCATTGGCAAGTCCCTATAAAGGACATTAAAGCTATTTGGAAGACAAGTACATCTAACTGGAAGAGTCCTAAACATTGGCAGGTGATTAACAGCTTTAAAAACTTGATACCTTGATTCTGATACCAGCACATCATTGTAGTGCTAACATGTATGTTGTTCAATGATGACAGTCTACCTAAGCTATTAGCGCTGTTACAGATGTTGATGGTGAGGCCGCCAATGATGTCCTTTAGAGATGAGGAGCCATCTACATAGTACATGTGAATTTCGTCAGGATCGGAGGCGATAGATCTCAGCTCATTCTTGTCAGCATTCCTTACTCCTGAGAGAAAAATATAGTGTTAATGCCTGTGTTGAAAAATGGGACTCAAAACACAGAAAACCATTCGGCTGGCAAAGTGATAAAATTGTGGTTTTCTAACACCTAAACTAAACATTTGACAGGCCAGACTGATGGTTGAGCATTTTTAACTCCATTCACTACAAATCATATGTACCTTACATTACCGCTCATATTTGCTAAAGCATGTCCCATGATTGTAACTTGACTTTCTTTCTTTTGGGCAGCCAGTGGTTTTAGTTCAACTTGGTCCACTACTATAATCAAATCACAAAGACTGAAATTAGCCTGACCTGGTGCTCATAACATAAAGACATAAACTGACATAAATGATAAATGCTGTCATTTTTACACTTTAAGGAATGATCTAGCTAACATTTTTATTTTGAGAAACATGAAGTACCACATTCAGTTTATATTGATGTCACTTATATAAGTGTTGTAGTTTCAGAGCTTATCCTCATTTTACAAATTTTTCTGATGCCTTTCAGCGTCATCATTATTGAAACTGAGAGTCAGTCACCAATAGCATAGACCTCGATTCCAGCGTTCTTCAGGTTCTGTGAGCGAAGGAATATGTCATCTTCGGACTTTCCATCAGTCATCAAGACAGCAATTTTTTGGGAGTCTGCTCGCATTCCCACATTGGATTTAAAATTTGTACGGAGGATATAGTCCAGAGCAAGTCCTGTATGACAGTAAAAACAGAGGGATCAAAAACCATAGTGTTGTGAAGTTGGGGGAGTCATTTCAGGTGCCCCTTGTTCCAGTAAAAACGAAGTAGTTATTATTATTATAATCACTATTAGCATAATAATGTCAACATTTTTAATATTGTACTACAATACTATGCTATAATTCACATTACTGCATACTTTTCTATTGGATTACTCTACATTTGCACACATGACATCTACTGCACATCTGTCCGTCCTGGAAGAGGGATCCCTCCTCAGTTGCTCTTCCTGAGGTTTCTCCCATTTTTCCTAAGTTTTTCTGGGGGAAATTTTTCCTTATCCCCCGTTAGGGTCCAAGTACAGAGGGATGTCATATGCTGTAAAGCCCTCTGAGACAAAATGTGATTTGGGAAAATGAGCTTTGTAAATAGAATTGAAAATTGAATTGAAGTATTACAATAACATTATCAATATTATACTAATAACAATAATATTATCATCATCATCTCATTTTTCATGGTAACCCTAATGTCACTGCAATCAGTATAATCATTATAACAAACAGGAAAATGTTCTTTTACAACTTCAGCTGAAGTCTCTTTTCTGAAGATGATTTGTCAATAATATTTTCAAATACACTGTTTTTTTTTTGTATAAAAAAGCTGTATATATCTGTCGTGGGGGGAAGATTTAATTCACACATTGCTCAAATATACACTATATACTTCTCTATGTGGTAAATATGTTGCAAACAATCACACACACACACACACACACACACACACACATTAGGACTGTCAATTGATTAAAAAAAATTAACTAATTAATCACACAATTTTCTGTAATTAATCGCGATTAATTTATCAATAGATTGATTGCGTTTCATCACATTTTTCTACTTAAGTCTGAAGCTTGTAACAGATATTTATTTATGCAAAATCATGAAGTTAATACAAAATAAACACAAAGAATGTATATTTAAATTCAAAGACTATCTTAATAGCTTTCTTTAAACTTTGAACGCAGTTTCTCTCCTGTAAAGTACAACTTTTCAATGGTGACTCAGCTTGAAAGGCATGTTTCTTGTATCTGCTGACAGAAATAATAACAAACCCAGGCCTAAAGGTTAAAGTGCAGGTTGAATACCAGAACCATCAAGGCCATTAAAATTCTTATCACAATAATATAAATGTTATTAATAACAAAATGTGTTCCATCTTCATGTGCCAGTTGAATTTTAAAAAGGTGCACAAGAGTCAATGCAAATATATAAAAGAACACTGAAAGATGCTGCTGAAAGTCCAGAATGTTGAACATTTTTCACTCCATAGAGACAATTTGGCTCATACCTTCTTTGCACTCAGCCAGTTACTGAGGCAGACCAGTTTGTTTACATTATCAGAAGATAAAGAAGGTCGCGTTTTTTGAATGATGTGGCCTGAGAGTGAGAACAACCTCTCACAAGGCATTGTGGTTGCAGGAGTTGACAGGTACTTGCGTGCAATGGGTCTCAGCCTGGAAAGTGTCCTCATACAAAGTGTGTAGTCTCGACACGATGGTTCCGCTCGAGGGTAGATTATAAGAGGTATCTCCCGATGCAGCGCGAATGACTTCTCTAAGTCCGTCGTCTTCGACTACGCTAATTGGCCGGCAGTTTTTAGCTATCCAAGTAAGCAAGGAATTGGTTAATTTTTCACTCACAGGTTTTGTTACTAGCCCACGAACGCCACACTCCTGCAGTGTGGATTGGCGAGGCCCAGTAGAGGTGGATTTAGCAGGGTGTTTTGCTCCAAGGTGATACACCTGAGACGAATTACTTCT